AACCTTACTGCACATCTACATGACACCACCAACCATCTCTCAAAAGGTGATTTGGCTGCTGAGTAAAATGTAGAAGGAGTTCAGGGAAGACGGGACTTTTTGCACAAAAAACGTCATTTTTCGACCCCCATTTGACCCCCCGGGGCAAAATTAAAATTCCGAAACCTTACTGCACATCTACATGACACCACCAACCATCTCTCAAAAGGTGATTTGGCTGCTGAGTAAAATGTAGAAGGAGTTCAGGGAAGAAGGGACTTTTTGCACAAAAAACGTCATTTTTCGACCCCCATTTGACCCCCCGGGGCAAAATCAAAATTCCGAAACCTTACTGCACATCTACATGACACCACCAACCATCTCTTAAAAGATGATTAAGCTACTGTGTAAAATGTAGGAGGAGTTCAGGGAAGAAAAGTGTGACAGACGGACGGACGGACGGACATGAGTAACAACAATATACCCGAACTTTCTTTAGAAAGTGCGGGTATAAAAACGCATCAAGCTGCTTGACGTTGCGTTTAAAATATGAACAATTTGAAGGCTATTTAAGGTAGAAATCGTTTTGTTTTATATACTTAATAATTGAAAATTAAACTATAAGGAATGAATTATATAGGAAACCAAATTATACTGCTATAACATGAATTCGAGCAGTTTACTTTTTTCATATAAATTATAGCGAGCGCAGCGAGGCGGCGCCAAGCGCCGCTTGCGTAGCGAGCTCAATAGACTTACGTATACGAACGGAGGAAATTCAGGTTGTAATCTGCACATAGTTCCAAGAAATTTTTATCTCAACGCGTGAAAAAATTCCAAACTCCCAATATTCCTTTGCGATGCATAGCAACATAGTGGCTGAAACATAGCAACAGCGTACTTGAAAAAAATTACAAACAGCGATTTAATGCAATCTCCATGCCACAAAACTATTGTTTGCTTTCATAGTCAACAGGTCTTTTTATTTGACGTCACACTTTCGTCACAGAAACGGCTCAGGTATTTCCGATTTTGTCGGAAACTTCCGAAAAGTTCGGAATCTCGATCCCGGTGCCTGGGAAGTGATTTCTTTTCATTCTTTTCTCCTTTTTTCAATGAACTGAGGATAGGCTGTGCAAGTAAAAGCTTTGTAAAGGTTTTTGATAGTAAATAACTGCGCTCGCCCCAACGGTCGCACCGTAGAACAAATTAAGTGTAAACTGTCCCAATCAAAGTTATACGATATAATTTCGTTTGATATTCTATTCATTGTTTATATGATTTGAATCAATGAGTCTGTAACTGTGTGCTGGGATGATCTTAAATGAAGTACCGTTATATTGAAATCAGACTGTGTGTCCGCAGAAGTATTTCGAAAGGAGGGGATTCCCTTTTGCAATTGTTTAAAACTTTGCTTTAGTTGCTATAGAAGTTATTCTTATATTACTTAGATATAGTCACGTTTAAATATGAATAATCGAATAATTCTGAATAGATATTTAGTTTTCCATTCAACACACACTTTTACGCCAATTATGCTTATCAGATATACAATTCTGATTCAAATACTTCTTCCCCTTACAGCCTCTAAAAACCCTTACCTCTCAACAATTTAATGGCTTGGGTTCAATCCATAAGGAATTTTCAATACTTTTCTTTTTTATGGAATAATTTATGAAGAGAAAATTAATTTTCCATTGATGTATTCCAAACCTTCTTTTAATTTTAAGGACTTTGTTCTAGATTCTCAATACTGAGTTCAGTAATAAAATTTGATCTTTCTAACATTTAAAGCTGTAGGCAATACGAATTCTTCAAAAAGTAACACATATATACATGTACTGTAATGTATTTTTCTTTTATCTGAGATTACCCTATCCATAACCTCTCCACTCTGTCTCAAACTCGACCCAAAATATCTCAAACAACTACACTTCTCAACACAACAACTGTCAGTTCTGATTTAAAATATGAAGACAATTATTATTAATATCACATCAAATGATGCGACTTCAAAACCCTGTAACTGTGTCCTGTGATGATCTTGACGGTAGTACCTTTTTATTGAAATCAGACTCTGGCTGTCACATCCACAGAGCTATTATTCTGGAAACAATAGTGGGATTTGGTGCCGAGAAGGAATATGTTTGCATCTTGTTTAACGTCCCTCTCAAGAATTTTTCACTTATATGGAGACGCCACCACTTGCCAGTGGAGAGTTGCAAATTTTATCCTATACTCGGCACTCAGCGCCATTGAGCAGGGAGGAATCTTTTTTTGTGCCAGCAGCTACTGCGGGGGCTTAACTTTCTTTCACAATCAATATTATTTTAATTCAATTCCGCATGTTGATGATTTATTTATGCTACAACAAAAGGGAACATTCTTTTGATATAAATATTTTAAAATGTAAAATTACTGTACCAGATCAGGGGAGAAAAAGTATGGTGTTTAGGTCCCCTGCAACCCCCCCCCCCCCCTCCCCCTCTGATACTATTTACCTGTACTTATTGTTCCTGAGATCTCACTATTTTGTAATAACTCTCATAAAGAGTTCACACAAAGTATCTAGTACGTCTCCAGGTCTTATACAACGCAGTCCATGTGGATACCATCCTCGATTAAGATTAAGAATATATAGGTCTACCACTCTATAATTTAAAATCAACATTTTAATTTCAAGTATGGAAGGATAGACCTATATGTACTTTTCTTTCGTCATTTACAGAATGACATGGAGAGCGCCTAATCTTCGGACACTTATGGTGTGTACATGAGGAGAAACATTTCATGGGATTAAAATGAGTTTTTAAAATTTGCTGAATACATTTTGTACTTTGCGAATCATAAATTTTCAAGCAATCAATAACACTTCAGGGACAAGGATGGATCTTCTAAATTCAGATGCGATAATAAAATCCAGAGGCTGGGGATCCTGAAGAGGGATCCCATTGGGATCCCAGGTAAATCCAGGACAAATGACTGATGAGGTCCAGGAAATGAAGGCCATGGAAGCTCGTTTTAAGTTAATTTAAAGAATTTGAAAGTAACACGCTATCTTGAAGTTATCCATCTTAAATTAACGACTATTTTTTGGGAAATAAATGAAGAAAAAGGGCATGTTAATTTGCTGATGAAAATTGCATTTACTTTTCTTTTTTCGTATTTTTGTAATGTGAAGTAATTTCCTATAAGAGTCTTTAAGACTATATTACAACCAAAAATCTGGAAAGTAAGAAATATTTTTTTTATATGAAATCGGCATTTTATACAATAGCATAACAAGAAACGTGAGCACTGTAGAGCTCTTAAACCGACTATCACAATTAAAAATCACAAGAAAAAATTAAAAACATAAATTAGCATGCAAATTAAAAACACATGTTCAGGTTCACATATGTGCAAACATAGTATGCACAGTTAGAATACCAACAATATAGTCGCAACGCGGCAAGAAATTGCAGAATCGCTCCGAAACAATTTTGAATATAAAAATACAAAAGTATTTGCAATGAAATGACTTCTAAATGAATTACAACAAACCTTTTAGAGGTTGTGTTTGCCTTTCAACCTAAAATATAATCCAAATAATGACAAAAATATAACTAATTTTCTCAACGTTTGGTTTTTTCTCACCTAAAATTTACACGCTGTGTTTACATATGGAACACTCTAGTAAATGTACTGAGTTTGAGTTATCGCCCGTGTTGATACGTGGTTAGATAAAATAACTGGTCTCTCTTTCTTGGCAAAATAATTAAAAAGCGACATAACATCAGACGATATTGCCTATAATGAGGGCAATTTACACGCATGGGTAATTAGCTTGTACATGTAGTTACAGTTACTGTAGTATAAACACTCAGGTTTCTTTTTAAAAATGACCAGTGCTTACCGACGCTTATTCACTGAGTTAAAAATAGACACCAGCTTTCAGGAAAAAAAATTCTTTACATAATGATTTATTTTTAAGAAAAATATTTATGCGAATGCAATACACGCGCAAATTTGCTAAAAATTTATCTCCAGTAAAAATTTCCAGATTTACGGTATATACACATACATAAATACATGGCGTATAAAACAATATTAAGGGACTCATATCCTCAGCTAGGAAGGAAAACTCTTTAATTTTTAAAATTCATAATTTAAGTCTCAAAACGAGGTTTGAAAATTAAATCTTTTCATGCAATAATTTTCATTATATACATGTACCTATAAATGTGCGTCAAGGCTCTTTGAAGTTCTCAGAAAGGTCTAATAAAATGTCGAAATTTTTACCCCGTAAAGGCATTTTAAAATTACATATATCAAGAAATTGATGTTCATTTTAATCTAACCATAGATACCAATGTTTATTAATATGATATGAAATTAGAAGTGATTTATGGTGCTTTGCAATGACAGGAGAATCTTTATACACTTTGCATCGTAAAATGATCGAGGAAAATAAAAGAAATTAAAGTACATTATATGTATAAAAATTGTGGAATTTCTATAAAAGCCTGGATACCTATGATTTTTATTTTTAAAATGTGTTAATTGATCAAATGTGAATTTGAAAATGCATAGCAGGTGATTTTATTCGCAATCACTGAAAATATATTTGAGATTTACCAAGGCGAAGCCGAGGTCAATATGGATATTTTCCTGGTGAATAACAAACCATATTCAACACCAAATCAAAGTACTGAAAGTACTGATAGGCGGAAGCATGATTGCAAGTCCTCATGTGCAAAACTTTAAAGGCACATATTTGAAGTATAATATCTATCTTATGGGGGGGGGGGTGTTAATAAATATTTTGAAGGATTGAATCTAAGGAACAAGAATTAACAATATGTTTCCCTTTTGAAGCGGAGAGATGAGAATAGATGAAGTCAATAGCAATATGATCATTTTAACATTTATTTTTTGTAAAGTATAACAAGATAAAATTGAAATGCAAGTTGCAATTATACATAAAATTTGCAAGATATGGTTTTTGGGAACAAGAAATGGATAACTATTAAATTTCACACAAAAATGAGTACTAATGAGTAATAGAAAACATTAAACATCACAACTGCTATTGTTTTTTTTTCTGTATATTAAGTTGACATAGTACAAATGAAACGAAGTCTTGTTAAGTTGCAAATCAAATAAGGATGCAACATACATAGAAGACCTTACATAGATTTACAATGTGCTTGTGATTCTATAAAATGTCTTGATTCAATACACGTATGGCCCAGGTAGAACAAATCACAAGTCTTTAATGCTGATGACAGGTGAGCCCTGTGTCATGATGTCCACAATAAATCCATTGGATATTTTTTCAGGAGAGCTCCTACCATAGCAGGCCCTTGAAAGCCAGACAATATTTTTTTTTATTCCTGTGGTAAATTTGTCTTTCGGGATCGTAAAATATTGGTACATGCATCCTAATATCAGTAGCGTTTTCTTTTCTGGAGATTGTCTCCACCATTCTCCTGACAGCTGTCTCTTGTTAGAATTTTCTACAAAGTGAATAAGTGAAAAAAATAAAGAATATCTCATAATTATATTTAGCAAATATTCCTTTACAACTTATCCGACTTTCAATAAATGAAATCAAGGACTTCAAATAGTCTTTATGATATATTTAATATACTTTCTAGGGACGTCAAATTAACCGTGTACTCGATCCAACGTCCAAGTATTGAATACTAAAAATGGATACTCGGTTACTCGGATGTATATTAAATAATTTCTTTTTTCAAAGTAAATATTTTTATCAAAACTTATCAATATTTACTTAAATATGCAAACAGTAATTAGCATGTTTTCATCTACACCTAGCTGTAAAACACCCCTTATCACCTCTACATGTAGCTGTGAATATACAGCAATTACTGACCAATTAGCAGGCACATAGTCGTTCTCAACTATTGTGGTCCTTAATTTTTGCATGAGTGACTTCAACGATTGTTTAAAGTATACATCACAATGATTGAAGTATTTGCAGTACACAGCAGTGAAATATGACATGCATAGAAATGCCGCTACCCACTTCAACAGTAAATAAATAACTAAAGATTCAAAACAGATGAAAGTCAATTTGCTAATTAACTTTAGTGTATAAACTGGAAACAACCAATAAATGAATTATTATAAGACTATGAGCATGCAATCCCTTCAACATCCATATCTTATTTTTGAAGTTTCGCTAGTTTAATAAACAAACCTGCACAACAGTTTGTCCTCCCTTTGCGTTGATCAAATAGATCCAAAACAACCTTTTGTAATTTTTGGTGTACCAATTGTGCATAATTTTTTTTTGCTTTTTATTTGATAGATAACTTAAGTACTAAAAAATAATTTCCAATCGAATCATTGTTTATTTGTACATTTTTGTGGGTTAATAGAGATTAACTAGGCTCAAGAACAATCTTTTATCTACATTTTACCGTTAGTAACCGAGTATTCAACCGGAGAAAGCGATCATTAATTATCAAATGATTTGATCGATTTGACTTCCCTAATATTTTCCAGTATTTCTCTCTCTCTATCTGATCTCTCTCTCAAAAGCCTACTATTGTTCGTAATCATGCATTTGCAAGAAAACAGATTAAATGTATATAAGATATACAGGACATAGACTGATAAAAGTTACTTTGGTGTATTTGAAAAATTAAAAAGAAAATAAATCAATTTAACAAAAATAGAAAATATTAAATTATACTTTCAAAAAATATTCGGTTCATATCTGTCATTATAACAAGAACATTCATTATGCTATCAAACATATATGTATCATAATTTATGACACTTTTCCCACTTGAAATATACATGTACTCACCTTCTGACAGAATCATGAGAATAGTGTATCTGACTGCGGTTGTGCTGAATTGAGTTTTTCTGATTTAGAGATGACACAGAGCGAAATTTCTACATGTTCACCATGCAATGTTAATTATCCTGCTCTTTGTTAGCTGCCTCCATAGGGACACATCTATACTGACTAAAATTGTGTCTTTGAGACTGTCCAGTTTTCATAGCTTTGGTCCATCCTTCAACATATTTACATTAAATGCAGGATATATAAATGTATACATAGACTGGGCATGATAATTCCTCAAATAATTTCTTCCAGGCATGCATGAAATTATTTGCAGATACAGTATCAGTTCGTTCGATCAAGACCGACCAAAACAGGTATCATGTTACGATATCTAATTAAAGCATGTCTGCATAGGGAGGCGACATTTTCAAGTTAAAACAATAAAGATAAAGGTCACAATGAAAGATAAGCTAATCAGACAACGTGAATTACCTAGCTAATGTTGAAGAGAAGCCTGTCACTTCCATTGTAAATCATTTGTACTCCATGTGGGTTTGTTTACAATAATTTCACGCTGAATCGTCTCATGTTAGATTATTACGCGGAAGTAGTACATAAGTATAAATAAACAATTGATAAAAGAAACTACATACCTCTTTTCTTCTATTTTCCAATAGATTATTTAAAAAATTAGTTCATCAGTAGCTGTATACATGTACCTGTCATTAATTCTTAAATATAATTATACCTACTTGAACTATTTTGTCCCTCGTAATATTTCTAAACATCGCTTCAGGACCCCGTGATGTTGAACCCCATTTGTTTTTGTTTTAAACATACAGAGCTGTCGTTCGTTCTTCTCTCAAGCGTGAAATGTATCAGGAGTACTAAAGTAACTATTAGTTCTATTATTAGGCTATTATTTCATTGGACTTTTTTTCATAAATCAAAATAAATTGTTAAAATAAATTCAGCCATAACACACGCTTTTGATATGATAATAACGATAAAGATTGGAAAGGGTGTCGAATACGAGTAACGGTTGTATGCCCATAGTTTAAGATACATCCGTTTGGAGTACCATGTCAGAGGGCAAAATTGACCTTTGACATCTTGAGAGGTAAAAAGGTCATCAAAGCAAATGCAATAGGCGGCTTCCGCCTATAAAGTATATAATTGTTTTATTATATAGTCGGGATTTGAATAAATAACATTGAAGGCTGTATGACGACACCATTTTTATTTTCGATCTTTCATTGTTGAAAATTAAAAAAATTTCCAGAATACGTTTTCCTTTTGCTATGTGTAAGACGTCCAAATGTTAAAAAATGATCCTGAAATAGGTTTGAATAATTGTTATTCTGTTCAGATACGTAGCTCGCTGCGGCCGTTGCAACCATTGATTACAACGTTGTTTGATGTTTTTTTTTGTGAAGTCACAATGCCGTGGCACGCGCATTGACCCTCCGGTGAATACGGCCTAAAATCCGGTGAATATGTAGCGTTATGAACTCTTTGCGTTTGTATAGATTATAGAGGGACTATGAATAAACTATATAATAATGTTCGTTATCTCCAAATCCTTCATGTAACCGTTAAATAACTGATTTGGCAAAGTTTAAGATTTCCTAACTTTTTTGGTACATAGTTATAACCCATATATAATTTCCACCCTAAAATAAGTGTGTTGCGTTTCTATTGACTATAAGTATATTTCCATTGTTTCAATACTGTAGACGTACTTTTTTCCACGGGGTCATAATTCCGCGGAATCTCAATTTCTGTTTAATCCACGGGTAGAAAATTACGCGGATTTTCTAGATTGTCACTATATGCCTTACATTTATATTAAGTACGCTTGGACAAATTTCCGCGGAAAATTTGTGACCGAGTACATAGCGTAAATTAATACCACGCGGAAAAAGTACTTCTACAGTAGTAAACATTTTTATCAAGATTCTTTAAAAAATGATACTCAAGATTACCATGGTGTAGGTTTAATCCATGAGAAATCTGCAATTTTTTTTTACCATAGCATAGTTTGTAGAGAGGAAACTTTCCTTTGTATAATTTAATATCGTTTAATAACGAGACCTTTGCTCTTAATCCTTAGTTCATAAATTAAATTTGATTTTATACATTTATAGCTGCAGAACTGTAGCTCTCCGAAAAATATATTGACAGACCGGTTTTTGATTTCGATGAACAGTGTTGCCATGGTTACTAAAAATAGAATTTTCTGTAAAAATTCCTTTAAAAAGCTACTCCTCCTACAATTTTGGTCTGATTTCAATATACCTTTGCACACAAGTATACTACACTAAGATAAAATAGTGCATGGGTTTTTGATTTCGATGAACGGTGTTGCCATTGTTACTAAAAATAAAAATGTCTGTGAAATTCCTTTAAAACGCTACTCCTTCTACAGTTTTGGTCTGGTGGCAATGGCTTCTTTTCTCATCATTTGTTATAAGTACAAACCAGTAGAGCTACAGTCTCGACAGAGACTTCTGGTTATATTAATTTTAGTACTCTCGTAAATGACATCTGAACAAAGAATGTTAGACCAAATTATCTTGCAAACAAAAATGGCAGTACAAATAGACGAAATTTTCGATGATCTCAATTTCAGGGCCAGGAGGGCTAATAACAATAATATATAAGAAATTTTTTGTTGTAGAAACAGTGAAAAAATATGTTACGAATATACTGTTAGTATTATTTTGAGATGACAGTTTGAAAAACATGGAGAAATAAATCGAGAAACAGCGCACTTTTTGTGCGCATTAAATATACAGTTTTTTTTCACTGGGTGGCACTGCAGCTCTCTGGTCTGTCAATATATTTTTCGGAGAGCTACAGTTCTGCAGCTAAAACATTTAAAGCTTTTGGTAATTAGCCTGCCGACATTCGTATAAAAGATCATTTTTGGATATATACACATATTACAGTGGGTGATTCCTTTACTCCATGTACTGGATGACTTTAATATCACCTGAATCAAAACACCCTACCCACAACCTCCCCTCACTGTCCACACTCAGTCCACCAAGATTCCGAAGTCCACAATTGCTAATGCATCTTAAAAACTGTCCATTCTCATCTAAGAGATGAAGACAGTCATTAATAATATCAATTAAAATAATCTGACTCAATGAATCTGTCTTAATGTACGCAGGACCAAATGATTTCTTCCTCCTGGTTGGTGTACCATCGTAACGGAATCGAACTCTTCCTGTCTTGTCCATTACTATCACTGTACTGGTATCAAAATCAGAGGCGCATATGTCTCCGTTGTTATTCTCGTCCACCAAGACCCCTGGTTGCCCACCTTCAAATATATTTTGTCCACGGGCATCTTTATCTATTTCTTGTATTGCTGTTTGTCCCTGAAATCGGACTATTTTGTAATGACTTTTATCGGTAGTGTACATACTAACTAGTATGTCCCCTGATCTGGTACAACACAGTCCATCAGGATGCCACCCCCGAGGTAGAGTGATTAGTGTCTCTATCTTCCCCTGTCTGACGATGTTCACTGTTCTGCTGTCATGATCACTGTATATCAGTTCTCCTTTCCTGGTCACTGAAATTTCATTTGGAGAGGGTTTACACTTGGTGGCGATCTTCTCCTTTATAGAACCACGTATGTCAATACGTCTTATGAATCTATCTCCACTACAAGCCCAAGCTTCATTGTTTCTGGTACAGATAATATGACGTAATGACTTTATTCTAGAAGGAATGGTAGCAATAACTTTAGCTTTGTCCAATAGTTTTCTCACGGATAAAATGGATACTTCATCTGTCAGACTGGATATAGATGTCTGTGTCAGTGTAGCCTTGTATTCTCCTAATTCTATGCTGAGTTCTCTCCCCTGGACTGTGTTGCTATTTAGGGAAGGAATCTTCACATCAACATCTGTAGGAATGTCTCTGAAATCCGTAAGTTCTGATTTGTAGCTTGTAACATCAGACACTTTATTGGACTTTAGGATTTTCTTGTTTTCCTTTGTTATCCTTGCTAATTTTGTCCCCGAATCATGAAGCCTGGACTGGTGTGATCTGAGAGCTGTGAGTCTTCCATCCTTCATTTTCCTAATTGTTGATTGTAGTGTGTCGAAAATGTTGTCTACTTCTTCATGCCAGGATTTTCTCAGATTTTCTCCCTCTCTCTCCATTGTTTCAAATTTTTCAGTCATTTTAGATATCTTTAGATCAATATTCGCTCCACTTAGTGCGAATCTTGAAATAAACGACTCAATTTCCTCTGTTTCTTTCTTGATTTCTTCTTTCATCTGTTGTACCACTTCTGACATATCTATGATGGTATGGGGCCTGTGGGGACCCGTGAGACATCTGAAGCAGACGGGGACATCACACTGTTGACAATGTCCCTCGCATTTCTGGTTGGGATGAGAAGCACATGAGGAGAATACGAGCCTTTCTCTTCTGTCTTTAAAAGGAACAATGTCATGTGTTTGAGACTTCAGACTTTCTACATGTTTATTAATACAACCCCCACACAAACTGACCTGACAGCTGTTACAGAACTGCTGGGTGGGGTTGTCACAAAGATCACACGTGATCACATCCTGTGCCCAAGAAGATGAAGTCGCCATCTTCCTCCTAAAAGATAAAGTTGACCTGTTGGTTTATAAATATTACATAATTTATGCTCAACTTTTATTCGACTTTTCTCTAAAAGAATTCATTTATGCCCAAATCCCGCAATTCCCTCCACCGTAAATATATTAGAGGCAGATTTAACTAACCCCGATCAGTTATATTTTCTTTATTATTTTCTGCTTAAATTATTGCGTTCTTTCTCTATCTTGGCTCATTAAAATACCACTTGAAGTTTAACTTTCGATTTAGTATTGTGGTGGATTTACGAATTTAGAGGGCGGGGTAGAGGTTACCTGTTGAATTTATTGCCTGACGTCACGGCGTCAGGCACTACTAAGGATCAATATTTCCTAGGTGCGAAGCTAGAGGTCACACTTAACCAGAAAAATTTTGTGCATGCTGATTATCATCGGATTTTGTTACCTGCATTTCAGCAATAACAAAAATAACCATATTTCTGATACAATATATTGATGTATTTATTTCCATTAGTTTTGTGCATGCAGCTATGTATGTCATGTGAATTTCTATACGAACATGTCCGTTAGACCTTTTTTCGAAGTCCCCTACCCCTTGGTCTGAAATTTTGTGGGTGGAGTACTAAGGGACAGTTACTACTTCTGTGAAAAGTAGTACTTCTGTCCCCGAGCCCGATGTTTATTCGTATAGTATTATGATATGGGGCTAAAAACTCGGTGCCATATCTCGGAAACTAGAGATGGTACCATCACCAATTTTTCACAGAAGTAGTAACTTTCCCTTAGTACTCCACCCACAAAATTTCAGACCCCGAGGTAGGGGGCACAATATGGGTCCCCCTTGTGAGTGAGGTGACTGTTTTTGGAGAGAGTCTGAGAGACACACAATCAGAAAAAAACACAGCACCCCAAAATTGAAGATGTTTTAAACGAAATTGCAAAATTACAATCAGATATGGCTCACAATGAAAGAAAAAACATACAAATTGTTCAGTCAGAAAAAAGACATCACTTCTAGACAACAGCAATTAGAAGATTTAGAAAATACATCGAGATCAGAACATGAACAACAAATGTACAAACTACAATAAAAATCTGAAACAAAACTAGCAAACACAAAAGCAAACTACGAAAACACAATTAGTAAAAAATGACGGCAAAGAATGAAGAAATTGCGACATTAGAACAAAAATTTTACGAGCAAGACAGCAGATGGGTAGGTAAGTTACAACATTTAGATAACAAAATTAAGCAACTTGAAGTTGAAAAAATCAGCCGAGAAGTAGGCAAGTTAGCACCACAGGAAGGTTACAAAAAGACTTCATCTGCGAACCCTGACACCAATGAGCCAAAGGGACCAAGTCCACCAAAAATGTCCACCTTTGATGGAAAGAGCGACTGGAGACCCTTCTTTACACAGTTTTCTCATATTGCGTCCAGATACAAATGGTCTGATGAACAAAAACTGGACAAACTTATTGAGAGTCTTCGAGACAAGGCCTTGAAATACTTCAGTTCCAGACCAAGTTCAGATCAAAGAAGCTTCAAGAAACTGAGTGCAAAAATGAATGAGAGATTTGGCAAGAAAGACCTGCCTCATATAATACGAAGACAACTTCAAGATATCAAACAAGGCCCCGAGGAATCCGTAGACGAGTTTGCGGATAAGGTTCTGGAAATGACCACAGACGGATACCTAAACACAACTGAAGACTATCGACAAACTGTTGCAATAGATGCATTTTTGAGAGGCTGCACAAATAAACAAGCTGCACTCATTGCCATGGACAAAAATCCAGACACACTAGACATCGCCACACAATACATGAAAAGTGCAATCACATACCAAAAGCTCATTTTAGGTATAAAAAAGTCTGAAACAAGAAGGGTCAAGTTTGAAAGTTCAGAAAGTGATAGTGAGGAAGATGAAGAGAAAGTTAACAAGATTAGGTATCTTTTCAATAAACAAACATCAACACCATACACAGAACAAACAAAAATGTCCAAACTTGAGTCAAGGGTCACAAGATTAGAAGATGACACTAAAGAAATAAAAACAAACATCCAAGATATTCTAAAAATTTTAAAATCTTCAAATCAGAAATATATTTACAGGTCAAACAGTAGAGAGGGTACAAGACTTAGATCCCCTTCAAGTAGCCCAAACAGACAAGCTTGTTTCAAGTGTGATCAAGAAGGTCACTTTGCCAGAGACTGTCCTAATCGTAGAAGTAGGTCACCATTTCAGAGTAGGAATACGTCCCCATCACCCCAGTCTAAGCCTTTAAACTCCAACAGGTTGGAGATGTAGGCCATTCTTCAACCTATTCAGACACATGAGACAGGCCTCGTCCTTAAGTAAAATTTAAATTACAAGAAATTGACCTTTACAAAGATGATATATTGAAAAACATCCTTTATGTCCCTTGTACTGTAAACAACAGAACAATTGATGCTGTGATAGATACTGCAGCACAAGTCACTGTTATGAAAAACCCAAGCCAAAATTAAATAAAGGCAAGTAAACATAACATCAAAGCCAAAATAGCAGAAAAGGTTAAGTTGAGAGTGGGGCCAATAGTACAACGGTGGGATGTAGTGGTTGGGGAGATTGCAGACTCGTTATTACTTGGTCTTGATTTTTTGAAAGCACACAATAGCATTATCAATATGCAAAACTACTTGACTCTTACTTTGGATCAAACATCAGTACGAATCACTAAGATCAAAACAGAGGGTTCTAAGAATGATGTTCAGATATACAGAATTTCTGTACAGAAAAGAACAGTTATACCACCTCAAACAGTTCAAATTACACCAGTAAAAGTTGACAGATCATTTGAAGGATAACTTTGTATTGAGACGGAAAAAACTTTTCTAAGGGTATTATGCCTCCGAATTCTGTGATTAATTCAGAGCATACAAGCATTTCCTTTAGAAATCCAACAGATAGATTTGTCACTTTAAAAAAAGGTTAGAATATAGGTTTTGGAATGGAAATAGATGAAGTGGTTGATATGGAAGATGACGAACAAATATCTGTCAATAAAATTGACATAAATCACTCCATTTCTAAACCATCGTCAGAAAATTTAAGATCTCAGTTACCACCTCAGTTACAAGACCTATATGATAGATCAATTACTAACCTAACTAAGGAAGACCATTATGAAGTTTTCTCTTTGTTAAACATATTTCAACATGTTTTTGCCAAAGACGATTTTGATTTAGGTCTTTTTAATGGGGAGATAATTCATAAAATTAACACTGGTGGAGCAAGACCAATCAAACAGAAGTTGCGTAGAACTCCAATGGGGTTTGAAAATGAAGAGAAAAACATATTGAACAAATGCTAGAAAAAGGTATAATTCAACCCTCTAATTCAGAGTGGGCCTCTCCTCCTGTATTAGTGAGAAAGAAAGATGGGAAAATGAGATTTTGTATAGATTATAGGGCCCTAAACAAAGTTACAACAAAATATGCTTTTCCTATACCAAATATACAAGATTGCATTGACACTTTAGGGGGAAATATTTTTTTCAGTTCTCTAGATATGGCTTCAGGTTACTGGCAGGTACTAACAGATGAACAAGACAGAAGCAAAACAGCACTAAGTATGGCTTGTATGAACATGTTAGATTACCCTTCGGTTTATGTAACAGCCCAGCCACTTTTAGTAGAGTTATCCAACAAGTTCTAAGGGGATTAATATGGCAAGAATGCTTAGCATACTTAGATGATGTTATCATTTTAGGAAGCGATATGCTGTCCCATACTAAAAATCTCACGGCAGTTATTTCCAGGTTTGAAAAATACAATCTGAAACTCAAACCCCAAAAGTGTGAATTATAGAAATAAAAAAAAAAGTATATAGTGAATACATATCAGAAACCATCTGATCATCTTAGCCAATGTGGTATTGTGATTGTTAACCCTTGTGGATTTGTTATTTACCTTTAATCGTCATAATAAATTATAAAAAGAAGATTTCCCTGTGATTGTGATTCATCACATTGTTTGGTGCCGGAACCCTGGAATTGGAGCCTGAAATCAAGAATTTATCACGGAAAAGAAGAAGATGTCAACCTCATACTTGAAAGGACTTTGTACAAGGTACAAGAATCTACTGCTGAAGGAAATGGTTAAAAGTAAGACATTTCTTTCTTCAGAAGCCGAAGAAGAGGATTTCACAACCAAGTTAAGGCAGATTCAACCTTCCTTGAGACGTTTAAAGGACTTTGGTGTTAAATTAGAAGAATCGATGAAAGAACTTTCCATTGCCTTGGAAGCAAAACAAGACAATGAATCTGAAATTGAAAAATTTACAGAAGATAGTGAGAAGTTGTTTGAATTGCTCACAGATGTTACAGAACACTCAGAAGATCTTCTACTACTGGTAAAAAGATTGGAACGAGGGGACATTCCATATATGAAAACTTAAGCACAAAATGGCCCAAGAATAGACCACGTGATAGATCTGCAGACAAAAATGCAGGAACAACTGATGCATTTCCAAGAACTCCAAATTCAAGAATTGCATAGAAAAGAGATTTGCAAAGAGAAAGAAACTCAAGTAGTTAAACTACCAAAGTTTGAACTACCTTCATTCAATGGAGACAAATTAAAGTGGAAAGAATTCTGGGACTCCTTTGAAGCCTCTGTCCACAAAAACTCAAGGCTTTCCAATATTGAGAACTGCTATTTCCGGCTTTATGCTCTCCCATGAAAATTATGATGTAGCTCTCTCCATATTGAAGGAACGATTCGGAGATGTGCAGTCTGTGATTAACAAACACTACGTGGACCTTATAAATATCAAGCCTGCACTCAATAATACTTCCAGTCTCCGTAGATTATTGGATGAACTAGAAAAGCATATGCGCTGCCTAGAAGCATTGGAACAGGACGTAAATCAAGATGTCTTTGTTTCCGTGATAATAACAAAGTTACCAAAAGAAGCCAGATTACAATTAGAAATACAGAAAGGAAAGAAAGAAAAGTGGACTGTGCAAAAGCTGAGAATATTCCTTGATAACTACATAGCAGCCAGAGAGTCTACAAATACAGAAAACCTAGCCGGTCATGAAGAACGATCTGATAGAAAATCTTCATCACCTGAATTTTCATATATAAATGAAAGGCCACATACAACTACAGAAGCCCTAACAACACTATTTCAAGGATCACAGATAAGAAACAAATATGGAAGAAAACATCCAAT